AGAGTGGTGTCATCCCCTGGACACGGGTGCCCAGGTCTGCCCCCGATGGGGGCACATACCCAGCACCCCCCAGCACCATGCTAGTCTGTGGTGAAGTACCCACCTCTCTGCCGGGGGGTCCTGCATCACCCTTGTCTCCCTAAGCAGCAGGGAAAGGAGTTAGAGGAGTGCTGCCCATCGGCATGCCCCAAAGTGATGCTCCTGAGCCCAGGCAGGGTGGAGCTAGCAGGCGTGTGGGACCACACAGCGACCGTGAGGGGACCACAGAGGGACACCCGGGGCTCGGCTCCTTACCTTTCTCCCATCCTCTCCTGGTGTCCCATCTTCTCCCTGGGGACACAGGCTGCCAGTCAGCACCCGACTCGACCACCCCAGCACGGGCACCGCATGGGACGGGGACAGGCAGGGGGGCATGGCCCGGAGCAGGAGGGCTCCTTGCCACGTCCCCGCCTTGTCTTTGTTCGTCCTGGGATCACCGGCCCTCAAGAGCCAGGGGCGAGTGCCAGAGCCAAGCCCACTCCCCCTACTCACGTTCTTGCCGCTGAGGCCAGGCTTGCCGTCGTCACCAGGTTTGCCCTGGGAGGAAGGAGAGGCAGTGAGGGCCCCTCAACACTCCCCCCAGCCCCAGCAGCCAGGGGTCCCCAGGGTGCAGGGAAGGGGAAGCTGGGCATGGGGTGAGCCCCGGCAGATGGACCTGCCTGGGGACGACTGCAGGGGACACGGGCAGGATGTGATCCCTGGGCGCAGGTACTTACAGGGACGCCGGGAGGTCCCACGGGGCCCACGGGGCCAGGCGGTCCCTGCTCCCCACGCAGCCCTGGCAGCCCCTGCAGAGAAAGGAGACGGGGGGAGCACAGGGCAGCAGAGCACCCAGCTCCCCCAGCCAGCTCTGGGAGGCAGGAGCATGACAGAGATGGTGGCACCCTGCTGGGGACAGGGCATGGTGCTGCTGCATTGACCAGCACCGGGCAGTATGGGACCAGACATCGGTCCCATGGAGGAGCACAACCGAAACCTGCCCTCTCTGGAGGTACTCACATCCCGGCCAGGATCCCCCGGCTTCCCCGGGTCACCCTGCAGAAAAGGAGGAGGTAAGAGTAGGGACATCCCTGCCTTGCCACGGGCTCCCCAACAGCATCCCTAGCCTGGCGCAGAGG